GTTGAGGGGGGGGGGGTGAGTGGGAGAGGCAGAGGCAGAGTGAGGGAGAGAGGGAGCAGCGGGGTCACCAGCGCGTAGAGCGTCCCGCCAGCTGACCCGACCGCGAGTGAGGCGTTTGAAATTCCGGCTGTGGGCGCGGCGAAGTCACTTCCGGCGGGCGCGTGAATGCGCGGACGTGTGCCCACAAAGTACCTGGGGGCCAGGGTCGGACTGGCTCTATTTGCTATGTATACCTTAGGTCACACCGGCTCTGTCTCCCTCCTCCGCCGCCGTACAGGATCGAGTTCTCGGCGTCGATGTCGAGCCCGCCGCCGCGCTCGTTGTTGCGGAGCACGGCGAGCTCGACCTAGCCGTTGGTGGCCGTTGATAGCCGTTAGTAGGTGGCCGTCCGGTCGCCCGCAAATGGCGCAAATGTCCGGTGGCCGTCGGCCCTCCCGCCTCAGGCTGGCGATCCATCTGGCAGGCGGCTCTCTCTCTCGGCGTCTCGGCTCGCCACGGTCACGCCACCGGTTGAGCCCCTCCCGTCCGGGGCCCACAGAACCACCGAAACCGCGGCCGGCGCGGCGCCGTCTCTCTCTCCCTCTCTCTCTGTCTCTCGCTCTGGCTCTCGCACCGGGTCGGCGCCGTCGCGCCGCACGGCCCAGAGCGCGCCGTCGGTGGTGGTGAAGAAGACGCGCGTCTCGTTGCGGTCAGTGCACACGCCGTTGGCAGCGGAGGCGGTGTCGACTAGCACCGTCGCGAACGAGGGCAGCCCGAGGTCACCCGACGGCGCGCCGCCCGAGTGGCGCGAGCGGCGCGAGGCGGCGCCCCCCAGTGTCGTTGAGACTGGGAACGACCAAACGTAAGTCTCGGCTGCCGCGCCGGCGGCGAGCTCGCGCTCGGACGGCAGCCGGCCGTCAGTAAAGTACAAAGAGCGCACCGCCGGCGCGCGGTCGCTGTTGTAGCCGCCGCCGCCGCCGCCGCCGCCGCCGCCGCTGCCACCGGCGCCGGCGGCGGCTTCGGTGGCGGCGGCGGCAGCGGCAGCTTTGGCGGCGGCGACGATCTTTTCCATTGCCGCCGCCGCCGCCGCTGTAGCGATCCCCGCGCGCTCCTCAGCCTCGGTGAGGCCGCTGCTGAGTGAGCGAGCGCGGGGGTGGCGCAGTCACAGGGCAAAAAGCCGCAGCGCCGCTCGTTCTGCTGCTGCTGCTGCTGCTCGTTCGGGACGCCGCTGCTGCTGCTGCTGGAGCCTGAGTCCGCAGGCGACGAGCGCGCTCGACGCCGCGCCTCCGAGCCGGCGGCCGAGCGCGCGGCCCGCGTCGCGCGCGAGCCACAGCGTCTCGAGGATCGGGGTCTGTGGGCGGCCGCGCTCGGTCTCAGGCTGGCTCTCCTGGGCGCCGGCTGCAGCCGGCTCCTGCCAGGCTGCCCGCGGTGACGGTCCACCTGCCAGGGGCCAACCACACCCCACCTGCAGCCCAAGATCGTCGGTCAACGGCTCCACCATCGGGTCGGGGGCCCGAGGGCCGGGAGCCACCGGGTACCCCTCTGCCCGCCCGCTGGAGTCGATGGAGGCGGTGGGGTGTGCGAGCCGACGGCTGACAGTGCCCAGCTCCTCCTCTTCCTCCTCTTCCTCTTCCTCTTCCTCCTCCTGAGGAGGTCTTTCGGATAAAAAGCACCCTTTTTGTTTTTGAAATCTGAGAGAGAGAGATTTTTAGCAATACCAAACAACTCTAACTTTTTAGAGTTTTGAAATCTGTGAAAATTGTGTCATTTTCGGATAGATATCCGCCCTGGCTCCTGGCCTTCTCGCGGACGAGAAAAATCCTGGGGGTTTCGGACCCCCAGTCCTACCTTAGCTAGGGTCCCTTACCCGAGGTCACCAAATTTCATGACCCACAAATTGGCACAATATATAAAGCCGGAGCAGGGTCCAGATCCTACCCCAGCTCCGCCACCCCTCGTCGGCCCGCGTCCGCCAACCCCCAAACCCCGCGGTAGCGCTGAATATGGCTGGATCGACTAAACTCGAACAAAACAAAGTTAGATTTGTTTGGTATTGCTAAAAATCTCTCTCTCTCTAAACTCGTGCTTTGCAAAGCGTCCCGGTCGACGCAGAAAAACCGATCGCAGACCATTTCAGAGCACAGAGAATTTCTATATTCCTGCTGGGATGGGCACTGGGGATGGGCTGCCTGCGCGTTTTTCTTTTCTTTTCGCACTAATTGTTTTTCTTTCGCCGATCGGCTTGCTCTGTGGGTGTGCTGTGGGCTCTTCGTTTTGTAATTGAGGGTGGGTGGCATCAGCTGGGTGGCATCACAGATGAGCGAGATGGCCGAGCGAGCCCCGTCCTCCGTGGCCCTTGAATCGTGGCCGTCGCCGCTGCGCACGGTGAGCGGCGCGCCGGTGCCCGCCCTTGCCTTCGGCCTCGGCACGCGGCACCGCCACGTCTCGGACGACGTGACCGCCAACGCGCTGCGCGCGGCGCTGCACGCAGGCTTCCGCCACATCGACTGCGCGCGCTTCTATGGCACCGAGGCGATCGCGGGGCGCGTGCTCGCGGAGGGGCTCGTGCCGCGCCGTGAGCTCTTCCTCACTTCCAAGCTGTGGATGACGCACCACGACGACGCGGGCGTCGCCGAGAGCGTCAACGCGTCGCTCGCTGCGCTTGGCCTTGAGTACTTAGACATGCTGCTCATCCACTGGCCCGTCGCATGGACGCGCGATAGCGACCCAGCGGACAAGGCGCGCGGCGTCACGCCGCGCGCCGACGTGCCGCTCGTCGCGACATGGCGTGCGATGGAGCGCCTCGTCGCCGCCGGGCGCGTGCGCGCGCTCGGCGTGAGCAATTGCGGTGTCGCCGAGCTCGACGAGATACTCGGTTCGGACCCCGCCGTGCGACCGACAATCAACCAGGTGGAGTGCCACCCGCAGTGCGCTCAGACCGCGCTGCGCGACGCGTGCGCCGCGCGCGGCGTGCGCCTAGCGTGCTTCGGCCCGCTCTGGCCGCAGCGCGCCGCGGCTGAGGGCGGCGGCGGCGGCGCGGCGGCGGGCAGCGCGCGTGTCGTGGCCGCGTGCGCCGCCGCCGCCGCCGCACACGGCCGGTCGACGACGCAGGTGCTGCTGCGGTGGCTCATCCAGCGGGCGTGCATGCCGGTGACGACCTCGTCCAACCCCGAGCGCGTGCGGCAGTCCTTCGGCGCGCTCGACTTCACGCTTACCGACGCCGAGATGGCCGCGATCGACGACGCGGGCGCGCGCGCGCCTTTCCGGCGCTACAACCCCTTAGGTTGGCGCGAGCCGCCCGACGCGCTGTGGTTCGCTCCGGATGATATCGATGCCTCCGAGTCCCGTCCGAGTCAGGCACAGAGTGCCGGGAGTCCTAGGGTGGTCTTGAATAGCTAGCCCCTTGTGACCAAAAAATATCTTTTATGGTCAACCGCGACCTGAAGGTGGTTTTCCAACGGGCGAACGCCACCCGAGCGTGCAAACTGCGCTGAATAACGCATTAAACATATCGACTCCGCTGCCTTCCCCAGCAGACTGGCACGGACTAATTATGGTCGTTCGGGGCGGCTCGCGCGCGCGCGCGCGCACACACACACACACACACATGCATGCATGCATGCATGCATGCACAGACAAACAGCCCCTTCCCCTTCCCCCTCAAGACCCTCAAGGGCGAGGACACACACAGGACGCACCTCTAGCGAGGCCCGCATAGTATGTGGGAGACTCCTGCCGCCGCCCCTGCCACCCCTGTGTCAGTGTGCCTGTGGTTGCGAGAGACTGCCAGTCAGTGAGAACTGAGAAGCTGGAGGCAGGTCGCTAGACTGAGATGAGACCGCCAGTGGAGTTGGGAGTCCACCGTGCACCGCGCTGCGAGCCTGTCGGTGGCCCGCCCGGCCGATGAGCACCGGACGCGAGGGTCGGTCGGCTCCTAACAACTCGCTGTCTATAGTCGCGATCTGCCGGCGTGCGTATGAGCTCACTAGCTAGAGCTCACACTAGAGGCCGTCATCGCATTCGCCTTCCTGGTACCCAGCGCTGGCTTCTGGCTGTCGTTGCTGTCTCTCCCTTCTCGACTAGGTAGGTAGGTAGGTAGGTAGAATCTCGACTTTCTGTGCCTGTGAACAGGTGTGTGTACTTTTTGCTTGGGGCGACACTCATGCCGGGGTAGGTAGGGTAGGTCTGGGCCCTCCCCTCGGGTTTTTCCCTCTCTTCACACCGGAATTTTCACAGCAGAAAAAGAAATTTTCCGCGGAAATCACGACGTCAACCCTCCCCAAGTGGGTGATCTGGTGCTTGTAGGGCTTGATAGTGGCCTGCCATGTCACAGGAAGGACTGTGGGTGCAGGAGAGTACCACCAGCCATCACTTTAGTTGGTATAGTACCCCACCTTCACCCATCGAGTGATTTCTTTTTTAGTTTCCCATAAGTAAGGTAGGTAGGTAGGTAGGTAGGTAGGGGCACCGCAGGGGCCGCTCAGGTTTTTCCAGAATTTCAGCATGAGTGTCGCCCCAAGCAAAAAGTACACACACCTGCTGTGAATGTAAAAAAAACGGCGTGACGATTTTGTGGCCTGGACACAGCTGGGCGTCCCCCCGCTAACACAGTAAATGTCGTTGCCAAACCCGCCGCCGCCGCTGCCGCCCAACCCCCCGACTCCGCCGAGTCCGCCACCCTCTTCGCCACCGTCGTCGCCGCCGCTGTCGCCCTCGCCGCCGCCCTCCCCGCCGCCGCCCTCGCCCCCACCGCCCTCGCCGCCGCCGCCCTCGCCCCCACCGCCCTCGCCGCCGCCACCCTCGCTGTCGCCCTCGCCACCGCGGCCCTCGCCACCGCCGCGCTCGCCCCCACCGCCCTCGCCGCCGCCACCCTCGCTGTCGCCCTCGCCACCGCCGCCCTCCCCGCCGCCGCCCTCGCCCCCACCGCCCTCGCCGCCGCCGCCCTCGCCCCCACCGCCCTCGCCGCCGCCACCCTCGCTGTCGCCCTCGCCACCGCCGCCCTCGCCACCGCCGCCCTCGCCCCCATCGCCCTCGCCGCCGCCACCCTCGCTGTCGCCCTCGCCACCGCCCGCGCTACCGCCGTCCCCGCCAGCGCCACCGCCGTCCCCGCCTCCAAACGCCGTCCTCGTGGCGCGAGACGCATTGATGCGGCTGCCCGGGCCTCTCGCGCCGAAGCAGGAAAGCTGCGCCGCCGGCCTCGCGGCGGACGCTCCCTCGTGCTCGTGCGGCATCGTCTCACCCGAAGCGGCGCCCGCGTGCTGCGCCGCCTCTTGCGGCGAGTGCGGCTACGACTGGGGCTGCACGTCGCGCAGCGGCGGCGAGAAGCTCTGCTGCAACGACAAGATACGCGCAGAGGCCGCGCCGTGCCGCTCGCCGTTTGATGTTGGTTGCATCATCCTCACCTCGCCGCCGCTTCCGCCGCCGCCACCGTCGCCGCCGCTCGGCCCTCCTCCCCCCACCGCACCGCCCTCATCGCCGCCGTCGCCGCCCTCCCAGGCACCCTCCCTGCCCGCCCCGAGCTTGCCGCCGCCGCTGCCGCCGCCGACACCGTCGTCGCCGATATGTCAGCCGTCGTCGTCGGCGTCGTCGTCGTCGTCGCCGTCGTCGCCGTCGTCGACGCCGTCGCCGCCGCCGCCGCCGCTGCCGCCACCGCCGCCGCCGCTTTCGCCGCCGGCCGCGCTAGCCTACCTTGTGGGCCTCGTCCAGGGAGCAGCTCGGGACGCACCAGGGGAGGCCGGTTACGGCCATGCGTGGCCGCTGGCCTTCGCCGCCGGCGCCCTCGCCGCCATGATCCTCCTCGCCCGGCGGTGCCCCGCCCGCCCCTCCTCGTGCTGCGGGCGGCCCCTCTCCCTCCCCTTCTCGCGCCTCTCCGACCCCGACAGCTCCAGCCCCACGGCCAAGGTCAACGGCTCCGCCAAGGGGCGGGCTCGGACACGTGACGGCGCGCTCGAGGCGGTCGGGCGTCGAGTCGGGCAGGGGCGCCCAAAGGCGGGCGAGGCCGAGCCGAGGCCGGCCTCGCTCGCCCTCTCGCCTCGGAGGCTGCCCACCCCGCCCGAGCCGGCGGACCGAGTGCGGATGGTAGCTGAGGAGCTCACTGCCCTCGAGGCGAGCGCAGGCTGCCTCCCCGCACCCTCGCTGGTCGAGCGCTGCTCGCAGCTCGCCGCCGAGCTCCAGGCCGTCGAAGTGGCCGCCGACAAGCGCCTCGCCCAATGGCGCGCCTTGCAGCTCCGCCGCTGCGATAACCTCCTCGCCTACCTCTCCCCGTCGCCGCTGCCCTCGCCGCGCCTGCCCTCGTGTGGCGACTCCCCCGCACTTTGACCCCTCACATGCAGGGGCAGATCTCACGTCAGTCTCTGGTCCTGCCCTTGAGATCTCCCAAAGTCGAGATGTCCACGAAATGCCCGGTCTCACCGCGTCGCTTTCGTTTGACGCGGTAGCTCTGGCAGCGGTTGTGGCTCTCAAGATCTTAAAGGAAGGGCCGGGCAGGGTTTGCCCCCCAAACTTTCCCGTTGAGATCTTTTCCCACAGCGCTTCTCGACGGCGACCTCTTTACTCTCGATGGACGATCTCTGGCAGCCTCTCTTCCAGCACGCCTTTGAGTCCGACGTCGTGCTGCTCGGCGAGGGCGACACCGTCGGCCTGCACACCAACGGGGCCGCGCTCGTCGCCTTTGCGCCGGAACTCCAGGTCCACATCGACAAAGCCACCGCCGCCGACATCGAAAAATCGGCCGTGGCGGTCGCCGACAAGGCTGACGTGGTCTCTGCCTCGACCGGCGCGGCATCGGTCGCGCCGGCCGGCGTGGCGTCGGTCTCGGCCGGCGTGACGTCGGCCGCGGCGGGCCAAGTCGCGGAGACGTCCGACGCGATCGCCATCGCGCGGGAGGAGGGCCTCGCCATTGTGCCGCTCCCAGGCTCGCGGCGCGCCATCAAGGTTTCTTCTCATGCCCATCACACCTCTCTCTCGCCACGCACGCCCACTCGACTCCGATCCACCCTCCGTAGCTCTTCCTGCGCCTGGCACACGAGTCGCTCCTCAATGCCGGCGGGGCGAACAACTTCGACTGCGACGAAACAATGTTCGACTTCCTATTCGACAGCGAGTCGCTGCACTGCGAGTTCCTGGAATTGTGCGTCCGCGTGGGCGACCATGCGCAGGCGCTGACGGCGGGCGGAGGCATCACGCGCGCCCTCAGCGCCTCGCTCGAAGCGACCACCACCCGGCTTGACGATGGGATCGACTCCGAGGCCGCGCTGCGCATGTTCTGCTGCCTCTCCAAGCGCTTCTCCAAGCGCTCGGACCCGCCTGCCGACATCGCCGGCTACAAGAGTGTCGTGGTTCGGCTGGCGGAGGAAAGCATCGACAAGTCCTCTCTCAACCATCTGCTGGCCCCGAGCAAGCTCGCAAGCCTCGATATCTCGCAGCTGGTCACGCTCGTCGACGTCCTCCCGCCCGACGCGAGCGCGGATGGGCTGCTGCTGGTTGGCGACGTGATTTTCTCCGACTTTTCTCGCATCTCAGGCAGCAACCCGTCGTATTCGACGTGGCAGCACAAGGTCTCGCTCTCCCCCGCCGGCACGACCGGCGCCGGCAAGTCCATTATCCTGTTCCTCAACGTGACTCCACGAAGCGGTGCGGAACGCAAGCCCGGGGCCAATGAGCTCAAGAAGTGCGACGAGTTCGATATCAGTCTCTCCGTTGACGGGGAATGCGCCTCGGACCACCCGCTGACCGTGTACGACGTGCAGCTGAAGGCGCGTGGGACCGAAAAGCCATCGCCGAAGGTGGAATCGATGCGTGCCTCGTTCATGTCTGAGTGCCTCAGCATCGACCTCCGGACAGAGCTCTTTCAACCACCCGAGCCGCGCCCGATCAACGTGGCGCTCGCGGACGGCACGGACCCCGACACGGGCTCGCCGTCACATGTCGCCGGCTCCATCGTGTCGGGCGTGCTGAATTACCTCATCGACCGCGTCGTTGCCACCGGGAAAAAGGAGGAGGATTCGCCGACGGCGCCGTCGGTCAGGATGTCGCAGGAGCCTGTCGCGCCGCCGCCGCAGCCAGCTCCAGCACCACCAGCTGCGGCGATACATCAGCTGCGTGTCGCGTCCAGGCCGATGGTGCGGACAAGGAGACCGATGCTGCGCCGCAGGACTCGGTCACGCGCCTCGGCCGCGCGCTCAACGGCGGCGACGACTCGGGGAGCGCGAGGGCGGAGCTGTCATCGCTTTGCACCGTCCGCATCGAGCTCCGCTGCGTGAAGGACGAGCGGCGACTCGCTCTTCTTCGCGCCTGGGCCAGCGCGCACGGGCTCGACAAGGAGGCGCCCTCGATGGTTGATCTCGTGATGTACTACGATGCGCTATGCGAGCGCGAGTCGCCCGAGGCAAACGCGAGCGACCCGATGCGCCCCGCCAGCGCCGACCCGCTCCGACGAATCCTCTTTGACGACACGCTCGCCCGGCCCCTCGCCGACTCCCGCAGCCTGCGCCGCTTCTTCGAGGAGGGCGCCACCCGGCTCGGCGCGCCCGCAGTCCGCCGCCTGCTCGCCGCCCGCCCGACGCGAACCACCGTCCCTTCAGCCAGCCGCCCGACCAGCCCCTCGCCCGAGACGTCGGAGGCCTCGGGCCCCTCGCCCCCGTGCGCCACCGAGCAGCTGAGTGCGGAGCAGGCGGCGGCGCCGGTGCGCACGCCGTCGAGCTCCTCTGCCGACCAGCGCCGCGCGCTGGCCCAGCCAACGTCGCCAGGCGCCGACGCGGACGTGGACGGCGACGCAAGCGCCGAAGAGGCGCTGCTTGACGCGCTGCGGCCGTGGGCTGCGGCACACACGCCCGACGAGATGGTGGCGGTGCTGCCGGCCTTGCGCATTGACCTCGTGCCGCTCGAGACGCTGCGGGCGAGATCGTAGCCGAGATCGGGCCGAGATCTGGCCGAGATCTGGAGCCGAGATCTGGCCGAGATCTAGCCCCTCTAGCCCCGAGGGGCGAGGGCGCGCTCGAGGGGCGGGGGCGCGCTCGAGCGATCTCACTGACCCAGGCAGCCGAGATCACCCACGGCTGACCGGCTGTGTGAGATGGATGCATAGGCGCACGTGCGGCAGCCCGACGGCCTCTTTGGCGACGCCGCCCGCGCGGGAAGCCCTCTGCGCGCCGCGCTGTCTGACGGGCTCCTCCCCGGCATCGAGGCACTGCGCGGTGTGTCGCTGGAGAACGAGGCGCCCGCGCTGTCGCCGCCCCCCCAGCGTCCCACAACCAGCGCCCCACCAGCGCAGGCCCTTGCGCGCAACAGCGGTCCTCATCATCACGCTCCCTCCTCAGGCTCCAGACGAGCTCACCTGCTGCATCACGCTGGCGCTCATGACCGACCCCGTCGTCGCGCTCGACGGCGAGAAGCTGCTCTGCGCTCCACATGCTCCAACTCCCCGCGCGTGACCCCACGCCGCGTATTCCGCAGGCAAGAGCTACGAGCGGAAGGCGATCGAGGCGTACTGGACGAGAGAGAAGGCCGCCGTCTCGCCGGTCACGCGCAAGCCGCTCCAGTCCAAGACCCTCGTCCCAAACATCAACTTGCGCGTCCTCTGCGAGGAGTACTCCGCAAGGCAGCGCCGACTCCACGGCGGCGCAACTTCGCCGCAGGACGTCGTCATGGGCGCGCTGCTCCCGCCGCCGCACGCGCCCGGCGCGAAGCGCAGGCGCCCGGCAGAGCTGGAGCACGACGAGCAGGCCGCCTCGGGCGTGGCCGCAGGCGCCAAGCGCAAGCTTCGGCTGGCCTCCGGAGACGGATCTCCGCCACCGGTCTGACGCGGAGACGGACTGACCCTCCGTGAAGGGATGTCAAGAGAGAGGCGGGGTCGCTGACGCGGCGAGGAGAGAGACGACCGGCCCAGCATACTGAGCGCGCGGGGGGCACACGCGGTGCAGTGTGCTCAGTCCTCAGCGCTCTCAGGCAGAAACGGGGCGCGGTTTGTGTTTCGGTGTGGGGCGGGAGGGCGCGGGAGACCGGCGGCGGCGGCGGCGGCGGCGGCGGCGGCGGCGGGGGGGGGGGGGGGTCGCGGCGATCATTGAGTGTGGCAAGCGTGATGCCTGTGATGCATCTCCCACCGATATCTCTCGTGACACCGACGGCAGAGGTGGCACCCCACTTCTCCAAAATGTATGTTCATTTTGTGTGCCGACATCACATGTGTGTCGAGAAGTTTACGTTACCTTACCTATCACATATGTAGCTTGTGTGGGGCAATGTGGGACCGACGAGCCAATGTGTACGTGCTATTCTCTGTCCGCGCAGGTACCGCGGCCCGGCCCTCTCCTTGAGTTTTAGACGAAGGTCTGGTGCACAGCGATGATACCATCCGGCGCCGGGTACTCGTCCATCAGCGCCGCCACCTCCAGCTCGGACGGCCCGTTCGGGTACTTCTTCTCGTCGTAGATGATCACGAGCGACTCGTCGCCTGGCTGGAGGAAGTTCTTCTGCCCCCACTCAGTGTACTCGCCAGCGCCGAGCGCGACCCAGATGCTCGTGGGGTACTCGCTCTTCTTCATAACCGGGAAGACGGGCTCCCATTTATCTGTCCGTGCAAGGGCAGTGCGGTACAAGTCTCATAGTGTGGAGCAAGTGGCTCGCTGCCCCCCCCACCCCCTTCCCCCGGAGCCGCACCTGTGTCCTCCTGGAAGTTGATGCGGTCAACGATCCAGTCAAGCAAAGCCGGGCCGAAAAGCATGTAGTTGCGCGCAGGCGCGTCCTCGCTGTACTTCACAATCGCCCCCTTCGGCCTGGCGCGCGAGGGCGGTCGGGATGGTGTGGTAGGGGTGGTGTGTGTGGGAGGGGGCGGGGGAGCATCTGTGGGGTAGGGGACGTGGCAGGGGAGACGGCGGTGGAGGAGAGGGAGAAGGAGGTCGCTCACGTCGTGATGGCGTCGTTAACGTGGTTCGGCCCCGACTTGATGTAGGAGGTGAGGACGAGCTGGTCGACGAGCGTGCCCGGGTCGAGGCTGGTGATTGGGAAGCTGCGGATCGAGATACCCTTGGATGAGCTGCCCCAGTTCTTCTTCATGCTCAGCTTGTCCGCACCTGAGAATGAGGGCGAGGAGCGGTGGCCGTTTGCGGGCGCGCGTCGCCGCCGCTCTACTGCGGGCCCGCACCGTCAAGCTTGCGGATGGAGCAGTCATTGAAGGCAGCAACCTTCCTCGGCACGAGCCGCTCCACCTTCGAGCCGTCCGCGCTGTAGACAATGTCTGCATACATCCCCATCTCAGGCTCAACCTGCGAGGCAGCGGCAGGGAGGGCGGCGAAGGAGGGTCGTCGCCAGTGACGGAAGCGGCAGTGAGGCTGCGAGATCAGAGGCTGTGAGAGAGGTGGCGGAGGGAGGGGAGGCGACAGGCCTGAACGTGCCCTCCCGCCTTTGGGTACTCGATGACAGCTGTCGCCACAGGGAACGCCTCAAGCCGGTGGAGCACCTGCGGCGCAGGTTGTGCAGGCGTTAGGAAGAGAGCCCGTGGCGGCGGTGGTCCGCCGCACCTCTGCGCTGGCGGTGCAATCCTCTCCGCGCGCTCTCTCTCTCTAGTTCTCTCTCTCTCTCTCTCTCTCTCTCTCTCTCTCTCTCTCTCTGTCTCTCTCTGTCTCTCTCTCTCTCTCTCTCTCTCTCGGCTCATTCGCGACGGCTGCTGCACCTCGTCGGCGCTCTCGTCCACGCTGTGAGGGTGCGGCGCGTAGAACGTGAAGATCGCCGCCGGCGTCTTCTGCCCCTCCGGAGGCGTGGTCTTGTCGTCCACGCCCTCCTCCTTTTTGTCCGCCTCGCCCGCCTGCTCCATGTGACCGGCCACGTTGCCGGCGACGCCCAGCCCGTACGTGCGGTGCCACTGCTTGAGGCGCGCGGACTTGCGCGCCATCTGGATCATGTCGTAGTGCGCGCAGAATTCATCAAAGTTGATTTTCCCCGAGCCGTCATCGTCCAGGTACCTGCAAGTCACGCGTGCCTTGCGTGCGTGGTGTGTGTGGCGTGTCGTGTGCGATTCCTCGGCGTGGCGGAGAACAGAGGGTTGCCAGTGGAGCGGCGGGCGTTCACGACCGGAGGTGTTGACCCACAGAGGCGCGCGGTCAGTGAGGGAGGGAACGGACGACTACAGGCGAGCACTTGCAAATGACGTCGGCCATGATGTCGATGTCGTGCTTGCGGCACATGTCTTTGATCTCCGCCATGGTGATGGTGCCTGCGGAGGGCGTGCGAGCGACGTGACTCTGCAGCCGATCGCCACCGCCGTGGGCCGCTCATATAACAACAAGGCGCGACGGGTGCGACGGAGCTGACCGTCATGGTTGATGTCCATCTGTCCAGGGGAGTAGGACGGGTGAGCTTTCAGCGAACGCTTCCGACTCCTGTGTCGCCCAGGCTTTCTACGGGCAAGGTGGATCCTCCATCCGTGCCGTGGTGCCGGGAGAGAGGCGGCTGCGGGCGGGCAGCGGGCGACTGCTGCCTTGCTGAAGACGGCCCATTCGTGAGGGTTAGTATCCCTGGTGCACTTTTGAACGTATGTTGATTCTTTGGCGCACAGCCCCCGCGCGAGCGCTGGTCGGAGCAGCAGTCTCGAGGATCGTCCGACTCGCGCAGAGGCGACCGAGGATGCACGGAGCATTGTACAGCCGTTCTCGCGCTAATCCCTCGGCTCGCTCTGGACGGATTGATTCGCGTAGGTAGGTAGGTAGGTAGCCCGGCTGGTGCTACCTCACACTGTCTAGGCAGAGACAAGGAGGGCCCCCGCACACACGAACCCACACATACAGCTCTGTGTCTTGATTTGCCAACAATACACCTAAGACACATACCGAGAGGGACGAGTGCACGCATTGGGCATCAGAGAGAGAGCCATCCACATAAAGTGTCTGTTGCTGTTTGGCTTGAGCCAAGCAGGCACACCCGCGCGCGAGCGATTAGGCCAGGCCCGAAGCCTGACTCAAGCCAAGGTGGAGCACAGGGACAGGGACACCGTACTCACGTACTGACATCCCGCCCCGCGCCAGGGGCGGTGGCGCGCGCCGCGCCGGGACACTTTGGACCCGCAGCCTGGCATACGCCAGGCCACAGATCCGCCGGCAGAGCCTTAAGCTGCATCCGCGATCCGCGCCGGCTCTCAGGAGAGATCCGGCGCGGTGCTGACCGCGTCCTCGCAGGCCACCGAGTTCACGATGGTGTCCGGAGGGAAACGGTGCAGCTGCGCGCATGTCGCAGTGCGGCATGCCGCAGTGCGTCACGCGGCGGATTGATTCACGGTGATTATTTTATTGTATTGAAGCCACACGCAGTGTGTCTTGTTAGCTTGTGTGTGTCTGTGTGTCGCTCACGCGTGTCGTCATCATCTGTCTCGCGTCCACCCATACCGCGCTGGTTGGTGTCCAGTCCGAGCCTGACTGTTCTTCACCTTCCTACCTAACCTAACCTAAGCATGGTGCCCCACCGACAGGATGCTGCTCGAAGAAAAGGTTGGCACCCTGGCAAAAAATCTATTAAAACGTGATCCGGTAACGCGCTCCTAATTCCGCAGCGACTGTTGTATTTCTGTCACGCGCGCAAGTTGGCCCTGGGCGTCGCAATCCGGAGGCGGCGGCGGCGGCGAAGGGGGCGGGGGCGCCGGCGGGCTCGGGCAGGCCACGCACGCAAGCTCGTACTCGCCAAATGTCCCTTGACGGCATTCTTTCCCCAGCGACTGGCAGTTGTAGCGGCCATTCGATTTAGGGCACATCTTGCGGCCTCTATTCTTGTACACCCCATCAACCGGATCCCATGAGTAGACGCCGTAGGAGCTGATTTCGCATTTACTATTCTGGTGGCTCCAGTTGTGCGACGTTTGCGCACACTCGCACGGAGGAGGCGGGGGCGCAGGCGGCGGCGCGGGCGGCGGCGCTGGTGGCGACGAAGGAGGCGGGGGCGCGGGCGGCGGCGCGGGCGGCGGCGACGGCGGGCAGTTCACGCACGCAAGCTCGTACTCGCCAAATGTCCCTTGACGGCATTCTTTCCCCAGCGACTGGCAGTTGTAGCGGCCATTCGATTTAGGGCACATCTTGCGGCCTCTATTCTTGTACACCCCATCAACCGGATCCCATGAGTAGACGCCGTAGGAGCTGATTTCGCATTTACTATTCTGGTGGCTCCAGTTGTGCGACGTTTGCGCACACTCGCACGGAGGAGGCGGGGGCGCAGGCGGCGGCGCGGGCGGCGGCGCTGGTGGCGACGAAGGAGGCGGGGGCGCGGGCGGCGGCGCGGGCGGCGGCGACGGCGGGCAGTTCACGCACGCAAGCTCGTACTCGCCAAATGTCCCTTGACGGCATTCTTTCCCCAGCGACTGGCAGTTGTAGCGGCCATTCGATTTAGGGCACATCTTGCGGCCTCTATTCTTGTACACCCCATCAACCGGATCCCATGAGTAGACGCCGTAGGAGTCAATTTCGCATTTACTCCATTGGCCGCTCAAGTTTTGGGAAACTTTCGCACACTAGGGGCAGGGCAGGGGCCGGTCAGGTTTTTGCAGAATTTCAGCATGATGTCCGGCCAAGCAAAAAAAACATACACCTGTTCTGTTGGTCCCATCACAGTTGTCCGCACCTGTTGTCCGCAGCTGTCCGCACCTGTTTGCACCACCTGCCAAACAGCGCCTTCCCCGCAATCGCTTCACTCTGAAATGCTCGCATATCCCTGCGGTGAGCGCTGTGGTCGCCGCAGACTGGCTCCGACTTGACGGCGGCATGGAGACGTGATGCCTCCATGCCGCCGTCGAGTCAAAATCGACATGCGTCTCTATCCTATCTCTCTCTTTAGCATGCAGAGAAAGTTGTGTTTGGGAGTGAGTGCCGTTTCACCTCATGTGGCCGAGCAGCGAGCACGGCGCCGGAAGACGACGTGTTCCTTTTACATGTATCCGCGCTCCACCTCTCGTGTCGCGGCACCCGCAGCGATGACGGATGAAAAGAAATCCTCCGTGTTCTGCCGACATATCGCGCTCGAAGGCAAAGGCTGCCGTGCCGTACGCCAGAATTTATGATCGCTGTGCTCCCAGCGCTCGTGCAGCGGCCAGCGTGGCGCAGCCCGTCACGCAGCGCGCTGATGCAGCAGCAGGACTCCGGTGAGCTCGCGGCACAGTTTGCCGCTGAGCGGACCCGAAGGCAGCAGCCGCAGCAGCAGCCGCCAAAAGCTGCGGACCCGGGCGAGGAGCCATTCGCAGGCGTGCGAGAGATTGTCCTCGACGCGGACGGAGCACCACGTGCTATCCCCAAACGGCCGCCGCCTGCCACCTTCGCCGAGCAGGCTCGTCTCTCTCTGTCTCCTCCCTTCTCTGCCTCCTGGCCCATCCCAAATCTCCTTCACTATACACATAGGGCGGCACTCGCCCCTCGCTAGTCGGGCTCGCTTTCGGCACGCTCATCGCCGTCGCCTCTGTGGCGCTACTGCTAGCCATCGCCGGCGCCGACGCCGGCGCGTCGTGACCGTCACCGCCAGGGTAGCTCGGCCGTCTGGCCAAGCGAGGTGCGACGAGACGCGTCGGTGTAACAAGGGCTCCGCTCACTGTGTAATTGTGTGGGTTGGGAAAGCTGGCGAGCGATGCATCGCTAACCGAAAACGGCGGTATGCACGTTCCCCCACCTTTTGAGCAAACTAAAGGCGCGGGTGCCGGGTCTGACACCCGTCCTTCAGATTTCACCCTTCGTTCCGGACCCTCCACGACGGCCACAGGCGCACTGCCCTCCCCTGCGGGCGAGAGCGCGACCCTCACATCAGGAGCTGGGGCGAGCGGAGTCGCTCCCGAGGAGCAGCTTCTCGCACTGGAGGCAGACCCGCTCCTACAGAGTCACGCAGAGCCGGCGGTGAGGGGGGCGCGGGCGGGGCGCTCTGCGTGGGCCGGCGAGGGCCGCCTCCGCCGACGATCCGAACTTTGCAATCACGCAGCGGCGCGGCGAGCAGCTCGCGCAGATGACGCGGCCGCAATGGCGGCAGTGGTGCTTGCGCAGATTGTTGGTCGACGCGTAGTTGGTCCGCGCCATGAGCTGCTGCGAGAGGGAGCCGCCGCCGGTCTGCGGCTGCGCGAGCATGAAGGGCAGCTTGCAGAGCTGGCACGCCTGCGCCACGCGTGCAGAGGTGGGGGGTCGACGCGCGGGGCGGAGAGGGCCTCCACCCCGAGGGACGCGAGCCAGCAGCAGCTGCTGGGCAGCTGCGGGGCGCGGAGTTTGGATTTCCAGGTTTAAAAGACGGAGATGGATGGCGAGCTATGGCGCGCGCGCCGCCACGAGCCGGTCGGGTACCCACGGGGGGGGGGAGGCGATGTGGCTGAGCAGCAGCACCGCGAGAGACCTCCCCTCCACGCCGCTCGGCTGCATCGAGTCGAGGGGGGTGAAGCCTGAGGGGCACGGACCAGGGGGGGGGGATGGCACGCAAAACCGTCAAGGGGCACGCAGCCGCGTCGCGTGCACGAAAGGGCTGCGAGTGTGCAAGGCCAAACGGCCGCGGCCGTCTGTACCGTCCCGATTCGGCAGCCCGACCGACGCGCCCAGGCCGACGAGCGAGATTGCCATCTCGACGCACCCGCCAAACGCGGCGGTGTGCATGGCGGTGTTCCCGCTCTCCGCCTCCTGCGCGTCCAGCGGAAGCGGCACCCCAGCCTCACCAAGCATCTCCAGCAGCCGCGCCGTCGGAAAGGGCGGCGGCGACTCGGCGCCGCCGCCCTCCGCCGCGCCCAACGCGCCGACACCGGCAGCCTCCTGGCGTGAGTACACCGCCCGCTCGGCGAGCAGGTGTAGTGCCTAGGTGGGTTCGGGTACCGTGTGGGCAGGGGAGGGTGGGTTCGGGTACCGTGGGGTAGGGGACGAGGGTGCAGCGCCCAGAGTTGTGTGGCCTGCTGTGAATGGAAGGTGTGAACAGAAGGTGTGCAGAGCAGGAGCAGCGCCCACACAACCAAGAACAGGTTGTGGCCTATTCGGCGCCTCGAGGAGCGGCCCGGGGGACTCGGCGCGGGGCGGCGGGCAGGCGGCGCAGGCGAGTGTCTTGTGAGTCTGTGTGTCTGTGTGCCGCTCCTGTGTGCCGTCATCATCTGTCCCGCGTCCACCCATACCGCGTTGGTGTCCAGTCCGAGACCTGGCTGTTCCTGGCCTGTCCATCTAATCTAGTCGCGCCGTCTGGCCGGCGTCGTTGCGGGCGGCGGGGTCGGCGCCGTGTTCAAGGAGGAGAGGCATGCCCTTGGCGACGTGCGGCGCCTGCCGGGTGCACGTGTGGAGGTGGGAGGCGTACCCTACCTCCTCAGTCTCGAATCCAGTGTGGGTTCAGGTCCTTGGGTGGTGCGGTGTGCGCCTGCCGGATGCAAGTGTGGAGCGGCGTGTTTCGCGCGTAGTCGAGGACGTTGCAGCGCGCCGCAGAGCCGTTCCAGCGCATCAGCTCGCAGCGCTGGATGAGGAGCGCCATCACTGCGGTCTGCCCGCGCGGTCCGCACGCAGCGTGCAGCGGGGTAGCACCTGCA